CCCCCAAAACCCCAAAACCCCAAAACCCCTCAAACATTAAACATGATTGAAAAGATGCACGATCAATATTATATTTATCTTAATATCTATCACCGAATTCTGTCTAAACCATAGGTTTTGAGTAGCTTCTGAGTCTCAGATCTTTTAATACCACAGCCTTCAATCCATATTTCCCTGAGAGAAAGTTGTAAATATGGAGAAGAAATTAACCCTTCCAACAAATTTGTTATTCACAAAGCATCAGGGTTGTAAGGCATCGAGTCATTTTTCCCAGAGTAGAATAAGTCTATCCTTTGTATCTGAGTGTCTTTGAGTGCATATGAAAAATTTGGGATTTCAGGGATTGAAAATTGACAAAATGCAAGTTCAATTCAGCTAACATGTCTGTAAGAACTTATTAACCTTTTTAGTTGAGATATGCTCATATTTAGCCCTCGGAAAGTGATCTTCTTTTGCACTCAATGGCTAATTTCGATGATTTTGTCTAAATAAAATGAAACATTTGTCTTTTTGTTCATATTAGAGTTTATACAAAATTTATTTGCTTTATGAGGAAACGCAATAGAGAGGAAATTTGAGGCATGTTTATTATTTGGTTGAAGACTTTCCCAAGTAATTTTTTCAATATTATAAAAGGTAAATGCTTTCATAGCTTTAGCAAAGAGTACATCTGTTTCTTCAGATAAATAAATATAAAGATCAGTAGTAAAGTATTCTTCATCAGAGTATAAATTAGAATTAGAATCAAGAGGGGCCACTCCTAATATACATCCAAACAATATTTCATAGATATTTGTTCATAGTTTGTAGTCAAGTTTCTTTGTGGTCTCTCAGAATTTCTTTTCTAATCTACATTAATTATTAGATTTTGAAATAAGAGTATAGATAAGATTACGAAATTTTATTAAATCATATTTATCTTTTTTTGAGTTTTATTAACAAGATTTGGTGAAAAGAAAGAACATAACATCGTTTCTTTGAGCTAAATGAAATCTACAATGCAACTAAACTCAGATATAAAAGAAGTAGCTTAACTTATGGATAAATCTGACATGAAAGGCATAAATGCAAACTAATTCATTCATCTGCTATTAAAATATCATAAATCTTTGTAAAATTATCAATCCTTTCAATTAACTTCTGCTTACTCTATAATCTTTTCTAGAGACACACGCTGTCTTTTCATTTTCTAAAATTCCAATAAAATTATAATTTTCAGGGGTTTTGGGGTTTTGGGGTTTTGGGGTTTTGGGG